GCCATTATGGCCATCATACTACTCAAAAAGACCAAGACTAAATACAGTATAATTTAGTGATATCTAAACTCACTTAAGAAATAGAGAGAGGGTCCTGAGGAGATATCTTTATATCCACAATGATGATAGCATCATTCAAAACACTTAAAAGTTAGAATCATTGCAGGTGGTCATACAAGAAAACATTATTCAGCTTTTAAAGGGAAGGCTGTTGTGACACACACTCACATGACTGAACCTCGAGGACATTATGCTAAGTGAAATAAGACAGTCACAAGCCAAGCACAAGCACTGCATGATTCCACTTACAAGAGGTCCACAGAGTTAACAAACTCATAGAGATGGGTAGGTTGTGGTTGCCAAGGACCAGAGGGAGGAGGGAGGAGGAAGTTGTTTTATTAGGTCAAGACAGTCCTTGGGGACTGATGGGTATGATGATCGTCCAACATGAACACACTCAGTACCACTCATCTGCATCCATAAAAATGGCAGAGATAGTAAATTTCATGTTACACATATTTTACCACATTTATAAAACAGACAAGGAAACCAAGAGGAGACACTTTCACCCAACCTCCATTCTTCTTAAATCTATAGGCTGTGACCTGTCTGGCTCACAAGCATCTCTTCTGACCTGCTCTAACAAATTCTTGTCTCAGGCCACTGGGTTGCTCTGTTCATTGCTCCATCTCCCACTGAAATGCTCTGTGAGTCTCCTGAAGCAGGCTATCTGTTCAGGTGTGGGGCTCTCAGTCCCCAAGCAGAAGGTGGCTGCTTGGCTGTGTGTGACTGTAGGGCTAAATGGCTGTGTGGATTCTAGAAGCTCATATGGCTTCTGGAAGCTTGCCTCTGTGTGGAGGTTGAGAACAGTTCTGTAGCCAATGGTTCTGGGAGCAGCAGAAGCTATGGTCTCCTTATGGTCTCCTCAATTCCTTTTGGGTCTTTCCATTTCTTCTCCCATAGTCACCAACACAATCTCTCAAGATGGACATAGGGTGTCTTGCTCTAAAGTTTCCCAGTGTGGGCACCAAGGCATCAACAGACCAATACATGAGTTCAAAGCACTGACCTACTGGCTTCTCTTTTTGTCCTGCAGGACCTAGTCATTGTGATCCATTCACAGCACATCACAAGACCTTGACAGTCTTGTCAAGGGTTTCTTTGACTTACAGTAGACCTGTGAAGCCACTGGGTTTGTCAGAAGGAGGCCCGTCTCCTGAGTTTATCCATGGATATAGGGGGTTCTTTACATTGGCCTCACCAGGCTAGCTTAGACCCTTCCATTTCCAAGACACCCCTGAATTGCCATCACAAGGGGTTGAGTAGTAAGATAATGAGGAAGAAGATAAAGTAAGCTTAGACCTCAAACCCAAGTATCCAATTTTCATTTGTGACTCTATATCTGACCCCAGGTAACCAGAACTGCTGGAGACAGCTGTCCTGTTCTTCAGAGAGCCAGGAGCAAGAACAAACCTCACTGGGTACATCTACTCTGCCCACAGCATCATCGGAAGTTTGGCATCTGCAAAGACCTGGGCACCCGTGTGTTGTGGCTGTCTCTTAGTGTCAGTTGCAGGGATAATTTTACCCAATCAGAGCCAATGAGCTGATGAAAGGGATGATGATATAGGAGCAATTGAGCACAGAATCTGGGTGTCTGCACTGATTTCTAACCCTCAGGCACCTCAGCTCTTCTCTGGGTCTTGTCAAGACTTTGGCTCATAGTGGGCCTGTAAAACTACTGGTCTTGTCAAGGCTGTGACTCACAATAGGTCTGTGAAGTCCACTGGCTTCTTACATACCTTTCTTTTATAGGATGAGAATTTAAAACAAACTATGTGTTAAAGTCCCCAACAGAGGTTCTGGCACATAGTAGATGTGTAGAAAATGCTTGCATTTTAGGTATCATGCAAACACTGGTTTGGGGAGACTGTAGAGAAGCCTGGCCACCCGATTCCTGTCTCATCTACTTGTACTTTCTAACTTCTTCAGCTTTGCAGTCCCCAGCACTGGTACTCTCTCAAGACACAGGCTTGAATCTGTGGTTAATATAACTTATGTGTTTACATAGTGGGTCTCATGTGTTATGTTTTTACGGCCCTGTGTCCGAAGAGGAAGAAAAAGCAGATTCTGGGTTTAGCTTGAAATGATGGATGTCTCTGTACAGGTCTAAACAAAGCAACAGGGTGAAATGTTCATGGTTTAATCCTTACATACATGTAGCTAGCCAAAAATTACTTCCTTGGTATGCAGGAAATGAAAAATGCAATTAACATGCTTTTTGATGAGTCAAGACCTAGAACTTGGACACATTCATGTCTCACCATGTGTTGGGCATTTACCTAGCTTCACCCAGAGCTCACACAGCTCAGTAGCACATCAAACAGCAGGGCAGAAAGGCACACAATCTTTGAGCATACTTAGCCTGTCCATTACCTACACAGGCATCTCCTTCACACACAAATTGTGTCTTGTTTCCTCTTGAAACATGGGTCACAGACTCACTCTGCTTTTCACACCTTGAGAAGGAATGGGAGTCAAGAAATAATCGCTTGGCTTTTCACTCCCTCAGAGGCAAAGGGGAAATATTTTGAAGGGAGGGGGAGTGTGAAGTCCTGCCTGGGATGCACACATCACCCCATTGCTTTGACCAGACTGTATTTACCCAGCACTTGCTATACATAGGGCTTTGTGTGATGCCTCTGAGGTACCATTTTTCATTTTCTTCTCTCAACAGCCCCTTGCAAGAGTCACTGTTATTGTGCTCATTTTAAGGTGGAAAATTGAGATGTACACAATTCAAGTAGTATGCACCAACTTACATGGCTACCTGTGTCTAGGAACTAGCGTGTTTATGACTCAGTAAGTCAGTGAGTCTTCATTACCTAAGAAGACAGTCTGCACTCCCAGTGATGGTGGGAGGAGGGCTCAGAGTGGATACCTTGGGCTGCTTCTGTCTCCCCAAGTCCTCAAAACCTCTTGGAAATGTCTGAAGTGGACACTCCCTCTGCTCTTTGAGAAAGCTCTTAACTTTCTTATTCTTCCTGGGATGGAAGGAGTCGTTTTAGAAGCTACAGATGGGACAGCAGATGGGAAGTAAAACCTATCAGAGTTGCCTGGGATGAAATCATTCATCTGCAAAATCCGTATGTTTTTGTGTGGGGCAACTTCATAGAGACAACAGCAAGAGGAAACAGCAGAGCCCCGGAGCATGTGGTTTCTCTGGCCATGAGGCTGACAGAGTGCACAGAAGAGCTTAGGGGGTTGGTGTGCACTCTGGCAATGACCTCAAAGGGAGAAGGAGCGCAAGCCAGGTACAGAGACAAACAATGAGCTGTAAAGCTAAAGAAGCCTCAAAGAACGCACCTGCAGCACATGGTCTGAGAATGACAGCTGGGACCCTTGCAAAGATAAAAGATGCACCCTTGGCTGCAACTTGGATGCCAATAGTTGACGTGCACTGAGCCCCTTACAAGGGCCTGATGCTCTGCTACAGGCTGTTATGACCTCCTGGTATCACATGGAGGAATTTATGTTCCTGTGAATCTGTTGCTGCTTTGATGACTGATCTCAGACTCCCATGCTGAGCAGTCTGCTGAGAGTCTAAACCTACATCCTGTATGATCCTGACCCTTCAGGGTAAGTGTCCATGGTTACAGCTGGGACTGTAATCAATGCGAAGCATCATTTCTAGGGGGCCAGCAGTACTGTGCCTACCTGGCCTATTTCCTTCTTGTTTGTAACTCCACAGACAGCCCAGTCTCCTGATTTTCCCAAGAGGTCAGTTGCAAGCAGAAAGAACATCTACTTTGGAACCAGACAGAACCAGTTCTATCTTTGCTTTGTCATGTCTTTACTGTACGACAGTGGACCTCAATTTGACTGTCTATCTACTGAGCTCCCTACAAGGGCTCAAGTAATGACTTCCCACAGTATCTACTATACATAGCATTTTCAAGCAATTTCTGAATTCAGTCCTTTATTGGAAGATGGCAAAGGAATGTTCTGACTACCCTTTGTCCTATTGTCTAGAATCACCTTTCCTCCAGTTATTGCTCACTAAACTCCACCCATTTTTTAGATTTCTCAAATGCAGAAAGTTCATTTTTGATCAATATTTTTTCCCCATTTTATTTTCTCTTATAAAGAAATGTTGGTTCTCAACTGCAGGTGATCTGGGCCCTTGAGGGACACTGACAATATCTTCAGACACTGTGTGAGAAGGACATAAGTGGGTAGAGCATGCTATTGGCAGTCTGCAGGTAGAGACCAAAGACATTGATAAACACCAACAATGCAAGGGGACAGCAAAGAATAAGTCACCCCAAATGTCAATATTGCATGGCTCACAAATCCTGGTCTAGAAAGCTCTTCCATGCTCTCCTGTGCTCCATCCCTGCTTGCCAACACATCTTTCTCTAGAGTAAATATTCCAAAGTCTTTCTCACTTTTTATCTGTGACCTTGCCTAGGCTGTTGTAAGCAACCTCCCTTCCATTAGCCTGCTTTGAGTTCAACATCAAGATCAGAGCTGTCCTTTCTCTGCTCAAAACATGCTTTCATGTGGCTTGGAGTAACAGATCCATGACATAACCTAGTTCTACACTCTGAGCATCTGTCTTGTTACTCTCTCCCTCACTATCTGTTATAGCTCTTGCAAGCCCAACTTCCTCTTACCCACACTAGGGCTGGCCCGGCTCTTCTCTGCCTTGGAACACTTTCTAAGACAGCATCACTTACTTTCTCATCTTCTGCTATTGTCCACAGGGCTGTTCCTGGCCTTTTTCATTAAGAACACATCTTCCACATCTGCCCTCTACTTTCTGAACACAGTGTTGGGTGATCTCATAGAGAAAACACAGTTCATCTCATGAGGCAGGGTGTGTCTCGAGATGGGAAGCTGACTGCCTTACTCTCTTGTGTCCCCACTGGTGTTATATAAAGAGGGAAGGGAAAAGCAGACCCTGGATCCAGCTGCCTTGGAGCTGTTGACAGCCTCACCTGATGGGGTAGTCAGCAGCACTGAGGTTGATGAAGAAGTCCCAGGGCCAGTCAGTCATCTCCAGGAGATCCCGCATGCTCTGCAGGTAGGTGGACAGGAGGCTGGCCCCACCCCAGATGGTGGCCATCCTCCAGGAGGTGACTCGGACATTGTCGTACTGCCTGGAGAACTGGAGCACTTGCCGATGCAAGTAATTGGACCTCTTTTCCCAGGGGAGAAAAGGAGAAAAGGTGACAGTCAACAGCCCAGAAAACAACATCCCAGAGACATCCCAGCCACCCTGCTCCTTCTGTGGTTGGTGTGTCTGATCACACGGGCTGCTGTGGATGCCAGCCTGTGGTGTTGTTCTGCATCAATATTCAAATCTTTAATTGCTATGAATTTTTTCATTGGCCACTGAAATTCAGATTCTCCTGGCCCACTCCTGAGTTAGTCAACCAGTGGGCTTGAGCTTGTGGGACCTGGAGCACCGCATGATCACAGATGACTGGCGCATGTTATCTGAGGGTACCAAGCTAAAAAACATGGGTCTGTCTAAGTTTGGTGAATCTTTGCAGGTAGGAGATGGAGTTTATATGTTCTGTCCTTCAGGACCATCCTCTCCCTTACTGTTTCACAGGCTGATTAGGAACACATCTTAGGGATGAAAATAGCCCTTCTGCCTCTTGGGATTTATTTAGGGTAGAAGCTACAACTGGGCCTTACTACCGACCTACAACCTCAGCCTGTGGTTTTATGAGAAGAAAAGTTCTTAGCTGGTGCTGGACTTGACCTCAGAACAACTTCCCCACGTCTACCTATGAGTTCTAGGGTTCTAGATATGCACCTATCTTGTGACATCAACAGATTAACAGAAACTTCCAGGGAAAGATGGCTCCAGGGTCAACAAGCCAAGTGTGGGTTTTGGTAATCAGATTTTATTGGCATACAACCATGCCCATTTATTGACAGTTTTCTGCTGCTGCAGTCAGACAAGGGCAGCACTGATTAGCACATGGTCCAAAAGAGTATCTCAACTACCCGGACTTTTCTAGAAAAAGTGAGCCCACTCCTGGGATAGTTAGTTTTACAGGTCTGTGGGGGTAGGCAGTGGGCACCAGATAAGGAGAGAAAGAAATAAAAAGCACAGCACAGCTAGGTTCTGAGAAGAGGTTCTCGTGTGTGTTATATTATGTAGGAAGGAGATGAACGCTAACAGTAAGGTAGAACATGTTGAAAAAAGCCCATGGGAGGGTCCCGAATGATCTGATCACAAAGCAATGAGAAGCAGTTAAGGCTATGGATATGCTAATTTTCTGAGCCAACTGGCTCACCGTGTATACATATACCAACATATCAAATTGTACCCCATAAATATGTGTAATTATCATGTGTCAAGGAAGAATAAAAAGACAAAGTACAAGAGAAACAATGTTTATAGGAAAAGCTGAGAGTCACAGCTAAACATTATGGAACTAACAACACACACACACACACACACACACACACACACACACACACACACCACTTCAGGACCACATGCTGCTGTTCCATCTCTAGGTCTCAGCCTGGACTTGTGAGATGGGAGGAAGGATCAGAGATGGATAGCCAGACTACAGAGGAAGCCTAGCACAGGGATATGAGCAGTGGCTCCTCACCTTATCCACATGGATATAGTAGAAGTGGTCTTTGTGGTAGATGGCCTTGAACATGCGCTGTAGCTGTCGAGAGGCACGGCCATGGACCACCAGGACAAAGGCGATTCTGACGGGGTTGGTGGGCATATACTCCACAGTGTCCTCATCCCATTGGACATTCTTGTTGGCTTTGCCTGGGGAAAACCAGAAGACCATAGATATGAACTTGAGAATGGCATGCCCTTTGGGAAGCAGGACTGTCTCCTACACTTCCCTTTGGGACAGGAGCACAGCATCCACATTGAATTTTCAAGCTTGATTCAGCTGAACCAAGCAAGCCCTAGGCCCTTATGCTGTCCAGATACAAGGTATCGGGAGACTCTGTGGTGCTTACAGCATTCTCTCTATACTACAGTAGTAGTAAAAGAAAAAGCTGATACATACACTCAACTATGTGCTAGATAGTTTTATGTCAAAGTGACACAAGCTAAAGTCATCTGAGACTAGGGAACCTCAATCGAGAAAAGACCTCCACAAGATTGGGCAGTAGGCAAGCCTACAAAGCATTTTCCTAATTAGTGATCAATGGGGGAGAGCCCAGCCCATTGTGGGTGGTGCTACCCCTGGGCTGGTGGTCTTGGGGTTCTATAAGAAAACAAGATGAGTAAGCCACGAGGAGCAAGCCAGTAACAGCACCCCTCCATGGCCTCTTCATCAGCTCCTGCCTCTAGATTCTTTTTCTCTTTGAGTTGCTGTCCTGATATCCTTCAATGATGAACAATGATATGGAAGCATAAACCAAATAAACCCTTTCCTCCCCAAGTTGCTTTGGTCATGGTGTTTCATCACAGCAATAGTAACCCTACCAAACAAGGCAGGGAATGAGGGAAGTGAAAAATGAACAGAGGACATTTGGGGTAAACGTGCGACTTTGGTCTGTTCAGAATATTTTTCCTTCTTCCCAACAGCGGTCAACATGTTCAGTTGTGATAAAAGGGAGAAACATGAATTCTGACCTTTTGACAAAGTTTCAAGTGTCCAAAACAGTACTGCTATTGGCAATTAGAAGTGCGACACTGTCTAGCAGCAATCTGGACCTTACTCATCCCGTGTCATTGCAACCTTATCTGATACTTGTGTGCCTCATACTTGTACATGTCTCTCTATGTCTCTGTCTCCATCTCTGTCTATCTGTCTCTGTCTCCATCTCTGTCTGTCTGTCTCTGCCTCTGTCTCTGTCTCTCTCTCTTTGTGTCTATGTGTGTGCACATGGAGGCCAGAGGTCAATGTTGGGTGTCTTCCTTAATTGCTCTTAACCATAAGTTTTTTTTTTTTTTTTAAGCAGGGCATCTCATTGAATCTGGAGCTCAGTCATTTGGTAAGACTGGCTGGCCAGCAAACCTCGGGGATCCTCTTGTCTCTGCCTCCTCAGCACTGGGACTGCAGGACTGGCTTTGTGACAGAGGTGTTGAGGATCTGGCCTTGGGTCTCCATGCTTGCACTGTAAGTTGCTAACTAACTGAGCTCTTTCCTTGGCACTTTAGCTGAAACTTTCAGTGGCTCTTCCTCTTGTTCATGCTCAGTCCACAGAGCATCATCTTGATTATCAATCCAGAGGTGGCCTGTAGTTCAGGACTGGTCGGCCTGAACTTGGTATTCCCTTGGTGTAACACTGTTCTGATGGATGTCTGAGCCTCACAAGAAGTTTGCCAAGGGGACAATCCCTTAGTTTTGTTGGAGCTATCAGATAAAGAGGTACTTGCTGCATATCAAACTGGAAGATGGAGAGAAGTTGCCAGAAGAAAACCAGCACAGAAGGAAGCTCTTTTGAGAGGTGGCTGGTATCTATGTCTTAATGACACACTTTGAGCTCCAGGATCAGGCAGGCTGGGGATCTGCCACTGTCACAGATCCCATACCCAATCCACCTGGATAAAGGGTTCCAGACATTCTTTCTCCCAAATCAGCCTCAGAAACTCCCTGTCTCCAGGGCCAAGGCCAGTGAAGTAAGAGCCTCCTGAACCTGACTCAGTACTGTCTGGCCTTCCCGGGGATGGATGCTTCTAGTCTAACTGGATTCCTGGCAGGGTCTAGTTTTGTGGGGCCCAGGATTCTGCTATGGTTTCAGGTGTCCCTGAGTGTTAGCTGGGGGTTGTTGAGAATGCAGAATGGTCAGCCTCGTCAGCAGCTTGGGAGTGGGACTGTGTTGGCTTGTGACCAGAAAGCTTAGGGGCAGTTGGATAAAGAATAAAGAACGTCCAAACCCAGGATGGTTGGCACACACCCGCAATCCCAGTATTTATGAGGCTGAGGCTGGAGGATCAATCACAAGTTCTACGCCAGCCTAGGTTACACAGTGAAACTTGCATGTTTTAAATAATTCTTCTCTTTTTATGATTGGCAAAACCACAAAACCAAGCCAAACCAAATCCCCAAACCAACAGGAGTAATATCCAAACCACACTGTGTGGCTTTCACAGCTTGACACGCAAATCCTCTGACCTCTCCTCTGAGTGCTCACACAGCCAGCTCACCCCTCCCTTTCCTGCTTTTTACCTGCACAAGCTCCTTGATCTTGGTGCATTTTGACAGTGGATCCTGGTACCTGAACACTCTCTCCCTAGAGCTGAGCATGGTTACACCTTCTTGTCACCAGCACAGGTCCAGTAAAAGATTATCTTCACTCTCCATCTCTCACTTCACCTGTTCCAATTTTCTGCACATCATTTAGCACCATCTGAAGTTGTTTATGTGTTTGCTTGTTTATTATCTGAGCATTCTGCTAGAGCATAAGGTCCAAGAGATGAGGGGCTTTATCCATCTTATTTACCATCAGACACATAATGCTCAGGTAAAACCCAACACACAGCAGGTGCCCTGTGAAGAACAAAGCTTCAAAGAGGGTGCATGTCAGCTCTGTCCAATAACAATACCTGTTTGGAGCGGTGGTCTGGGCTTGATCTCATTATTTCATTAATCTTCTTGACAACCCACAAGGTTGTTATTACCTCCATTCTTCAGAGGAAAACCCACAGCTTAGAGAGGCCAAGGGATTTGTTCAAGGTCATGCAGCATTAATTAGTTAAACTGAGATGCAAAGCCAGCTCTTAAAGACCATGCCCTTAACAGCTAACTTAGACTACACAATCACATTAAGACCTTGGAAAGAAGAGTTGACAATGGTGTTTGTTAATTAAATACCTTCTAAGTTACTGCAGGTAAGAAGGCAGGGATCTAAAGGTTTTCATGGGTGTTGTGAAAGAATTTCTGTATTTGATGAGAAATTGACTGTAGATGACCAATAAAGATATATATATATATATGTATATATATATATATATATATATATATATATATATATATATCCACCCTTCCATCTACTCATCCATCCACCTACTGACTCCATCCATCTATCTATCCAACCATCTCTCCACCTATCTACCCATTTCATTTATACATATTTCCATTACATCTACACATCTACCTAGAAACCCACTCCATCTACCTCCTCACTTCCACCTGCTCCACACATCCATTCAACTCAGGAAGCCATTCAACTACTCACTGGACAGCCTGTCATACCAAATGCCATTCATTCATGCAACACTCATTTTGGTCTCTAGTCAGAGGGTCTCTTTCCAGAGTTGCTAAATGAGAGAATGAATGAATAGATGAATTCTGACAAAGAGTGGATGCTGTGGTGTTCAGAGAAGCCTATGTTTCCTGAGGGCCTGCCACCTCCCAGCACTGAGAGCAGGGCTCTGGGTCCTTTGTTATTTGGTCTTGGTTAAGAATGCATTAACACTGTTTGAGGTTCAGAGTGTCTGGCATGTTTCCCAGGCCACACAGTGAAGACAGAGGTGGGAGCAGAAGCTGAACAGCCAAGTTCAAAGCCATCCTGCTGTGTCCACATGTCCAGTGTCAAAGAGCGGCAGCAGGCAGTGACCAGACCTGATCCAGTGACCCTGCACTGTCCTTTAAAGGGACTTAGGCTTCGATGCTGATAAAACAAAAACAACAACAAAAAACCCAAACAACAAGCAAACAAAAGCAAACAAAAAAACCCTTTTGTAACTCCTCTTTAGAGTGTTAGAGGGCAGAACGTATTCATAGCAGAGATAGGGAGTTGTGGGTGCTTTAGTTCTGGAGTAGGGAAGGGAGGGTTTGGAAAACAGATCATGCCAATGAAGGAGCTGTTGTGCCTTAAATAAAGTCTTTGTAGAATCAGACAGTTGGCCGCAGTGCACAAGGAAGCTGTGACTCAGGGAGGTCCTTGTTGGGATGCAGTTGAGCTGCTGGGGGTAGTGGTACACACCTATAGTCATGATACCCAGGAGGTTGAAGCAGGAGAGCCACCAGTTTGAGGCCAGCCTGGAATACACAGTAAGGGTATGTCTCAAAAATAAAAAGGTGGGTTTGTAGCTCAATGATAGAGTGGCCAGCCTAGCATGCTCAGGGCACTGGATTCCACCCATAGCACAGAAAGAAAGGAATGCAGGGAGGGAGGGAGAGAGAGAGGGAGGAAGGGAGAGTGGAGGAAGAGAGGAAGGAAGGAGGGAGGGGAGGGAAGAAAGGAAGAAGAGAGGAAGGAAGGAAGAGGGTAGGAAGAGGAAGGAAGGAAGAAAGGGAGGGAGAGAGGGAGGGAGCAAGCAAGCTGAGCTGAGGATGAAGTCTGTGATCTAGGAGCCCTAACACGGTCCCTCTGTTCATCAAACTGTCCCCATTGTAGAAAGGGGACATCGATTCCCAGAGTCAAGTCAGTTGACTTTCATTTGTTGGACAGACAATGCTGTGTGGCTAGAGTCATGTGGGTCTCTTCAGACAGAGGACTCTGAAAGGGCTAAAGCTCACACTCTGTCCAGCTCCTAAGAAAGAAGCATGAATTTAACAATGTAATCAGATTCCTGTGGCATAAAATAGAAAATAAGTGGAAAAATCAGTGTGATTAGAGGTAGCCAGAGAAGCTGACTCCAGATGAATGTTAAAAGCCACACTGACAGGGGAGAATATCAAGTATGTGTCTGAGGTAGGAGAGAAGACTGAGAAGGAGGAGTGTGCAGCAGCTCCCCTGGGAACAGGTTGGCCATGCTAAGCCTCTTACACCAACTCAGTAGGACTCAGCATCCTGTGGGCTTGCCGAGGACCATGGAGTCTTCTGGCTTCTAGGGTGGTGAGAGGTAGAGACCCACAATGG